TATCCGTTCATCTCGAAGAAATACCCGGCAATGTGTTGGTGGATGTTTCACACTTTCAAGAGCACATGCCTCTAGTGGTGCCCTTGCTTATCTAGTCACCAACAGTCACATGAATATTACTATAAAGTTCCTCCCCGCGGACGTTGCTTGTCCATTCAGGTTCTGATATCTATCTTTTCTGTGCACGCGTGCTTGCGCGTAGTGCTCATCCGTCGTGCTGTGGACATCAGAGGGTCGATCGAGGGAAAGTTGGTGGCCTTTGACAAGCACTACAACATGGTAAGGATTGGTACAACACGGTGATGTTCGGGACAATCTATTTATAGATTCGTACCCATTTCCTTTTTAGGCAGAACTGGGGTTGTATTTATAGGGACATGCAATACTGGTACCGCGCCCACTGATCTATTCAAAGAGTAAACAGGAGTAATTCTTCTACTTAACTAGTGTTATGTTCGACAAGGTAAAGGGTGCATTGAGCAACCACGACCCTTTGCACCACCAGACCATACAAGCAGGTGGGCTAAGCAAAGTTTACTAGGACTCGTTACAACCTTCTAAAGCGCTGCATGGATACAGTTCAGAATGACCTGCAGCCGTTAGTATACTGTGGTGTGCAACTCTCCGGTGTACGAACGATATAACAAATAAGTCGCAGACACTGCCTGGTAATAAAACACCCACTTGCAGCCTAGTGGATAGCATGCCTGTCCAAGATTACGTATGCATGTTTGTATATGTGCATGTGTGTATGGATGTGTATATGTACATAAGGATGTATGTATGTGTATATGTACATACGTGTGTATGTATGAGTCTGTGTACATATGTATGTATGTACGTGTGTATGTAAAATTATGTAAGCATACACGTATACAATGTTGTTATCATAACACACTGGCAATCTCTAACTAGAATACAGCTCAACATACTACTACATACGCCTTCACCACACATTAGGTAATGGCCGACTGCGAAGAACGGTTCACCGTCCCGCACTTTCGGATACCCAAGGACAAGACTGCACCTGTGGCATTTAGTTTAGGTCACCCCTACATAGGCGATCCACCTTGGCCTGCGGCTCGAGGGTTTGTGTGGAGGTATCGGAAGACAAAGCAGATCATGCTGAGGGGAAGCAGTATTGTGTCGGTGGCTCCATTGATTTGATATAGGACAAAACTGTACCTGTGGCATTCTTTTTAGGACACCCATACTTAGGCGATCCTCCACAGTCTTCAATTCGATGATTTGTATGGAGATATCGCAAAAAAAAAAACTCTCCCCCCCTCTCAGATTATGCTGAAGAAAAACAGTATTGTGTCGGTTGCTCCATTGCTGTGATTTACGACAAAACCGCACCTGTGGCATTTGATTTAGGACACCCTTACATAGGCGATCCACCCGTATCGCAAGACAAAACAGATCATGCTCAAGAGAAGCAGTATTGAGTCGGTATCCCCATGACTGTGATTTAAGACACATCTGCACCTGTGGCATTTAGTTTAGGACCACCGTATATTCGCGATCCACCCTGGCCTTGAGACTGCTTGTGGAGCTATTGCAAAACAAAACCCTTCATGCCGAGGATAAGCAGTACTGAGGCGATGTCTCCTTTGCGGCGATTAAACGGACAGGCTGTGATAACATCGCGAAACATAAGCTGACAGGAAGAATTGCTTCTCAATATAAAAGTGTTTACTTCATGTACGTGTAGTTGCGGGACATACTACTTCTCAATATAAATGTGTTTACCTCATGTGTGTGTAGTTGCGGGAAATTAAATACCTTCCGAAGGTTTGGCTTTTATTTGTTTCTATGTCAATTAAACGTGACCATGTCGCTTGCACGGCCTAATTTTTCGTACATTGCGTTCTCTTATGTTTGTGAGAGAGTTAGTTGTGTTGTAGGTTGCTGTGGTCGTTTCCAGTAGAGTGCATATCTCAGCACCAGTCACAGTGTTCAGCTGAGTAACCGACGTACATTAGGATGAAAATGGGTCTGTTCGCGATCTAATTAGTGTCTTTGGTGGATATCAGCTACGAGCTTCCGAGGTCTTTTGTTCCATGCCGCTGCAGCATCTACAACATCCGCACAACCCAAAAACCCTTAAAATATTCCTATCACCTCTTTTGAAAGTCCTCTTATAGCGTAATCCATATGCACCCGGTGTACATACGAGCGCTTCACAGTCTGCGCTGTGGTGTCCAGAGCGACAGATAGCTCTCCGTGTCCACGAAATGTATCAGTACTGGGGTTGTTCGGATAGTCGCAGGGTCTAAGTGTGCGAGTGCTTATATGTATGTTGGTCGGCTGAGGCGTGTACTATTTACTACTATTTTTGTGGGGGTTATACCCCGTGTTGTGTTGTCAGGTTGGTGACTATCAGTCAGAATTCCGAAATAATCAGGAAAGGAATTTGGACCGCAAGTTTGCAAATCTATTGCTATCGATCGGAGACATATTCCCGCAGATTCCGCTTCCTGGCCAGTCTATGCCAAACCTGTCCAATGATGTCTCCGAGTCTCGCCTCAATCTGTTGCATTTTTGAACGTAAAATTAAAGCGATGGGAAATATTAGCACGGCCAATATTTCAATTGATGGAATTAAAAATACCTTAACGCAATGTTGTCTCGAAATTACTAGATGCAAAGTGACATGTGAGGCAATCTATGCTGAGCCTGTCCAATGATGTTCCCCGAGTTTCGTCTCGATCTGCTGAACATTCTCTGAAAGCCATGTCTAAACACTTGTGGTGTGGACATGTCAATCCTTCATTTTAAAGTTGTTTTATAAACATTGGGAACATTTAAGTACCACTTTACATAGGTGTTTTAGGGACATTGTGAATATGGCAGTCCTGGGTATGAGGAGACCATAAGAGCTTTATGCAAGATGCAGAATTTGTGAAGAAAACCCCGATTATTTTGGTACCATTTACACTAGGCGAAGAACCCCATACACAAAACATCTCATGGCCCGAAAGCAGTCGCTGGTGAGTAACATTGCCTGCCCTGGGGAAAATGCGATTTATTCTTACAGTGTCGTATACCAGGGAGCCATGGAGAACCACATTCTCTAACACTTAAACTATAAAAAATCCCTGAATCATCTAATAAATTCTACTATTGCACATCACTCAGTACATACACTCGACCAAACAACACACATATAAACAGCGGGCTACGCGATACCTTCGGAGTGGCTAAAACATCTGCTCTGATCTCGCCGAAGTTGACAATGTTTACATACATCTCCAATACACACGCATACTTTTGAACGAGATAAATGTGGCCAACTGGCAGCTTGATACCTTCAACGTGGCGATATCATCTGCTCTGGTCTCGCCGATGTTGACTATGGCTACTGGTATACCCTTCTCGGCCGCATGCTTGGCGAACCTCCATCCAGAATATACCTGGTTGGGCCAATTACAGGATAGAAGAGGTTATTGATAAGGTCTATGATAGTTATCGGTCGAGCGGTCCAAGCTTACGCATCCCTGATGTAGAATATAAGCCTGATCCCTAAAACATACATGTCTAACTAAACCACACTACATAGCACCATTCGCAATACTACTGCACTGAACACATGCATAACCGACAACTGGCGCAGCACGCTCCCACCATACCAGAGTATAATACAGACATGGACAAATAACTGTTATAACAACAAGCAGAAATATTCTAGTACAAGCATAGGCATGCATGTGTGCTTAAACATACATATATACGTATATACACCACGCGCCAAACCACACCACAGACCCACAGCGGTACACATATACCTTCATAGACGACCCTAGTATCAGCAATCCATCCGCTTCCTCTATACGTGCGTATGTAAAATCGACACGTTCTTTTGGAACGTTTCCGCCAAAGAATACCAAGTCTGGTTTGAGTAGCCCGGGTGCGCCAGTATTGTCATAGCAATGTGCATTCGTGCACTCGGGCGATTGGAACGTCGAGTAGTCTACGTTGAGCAGACTGACATCCCCGTCTGAAGTGGTCGAGTGGAATGGGAAGTCAGAAATAATTGGGAATAATGTCTTGAGAGATAACAATGTGGAATCCCGATTTCATATATGAGGTCCTGTTTTAAAATATTTTGTGATCCCTAATTAAAAATCATAGTTGAAGTTGAACGCGGAACGATGCTATTAAAAAAATTGTGTTTAGGGTTCAGGAGCGCTAGTCTGGTCACAGCTGAAACCACCCACAATTCTATAACACAACCGCCCAACAAATTATATACAACAAATATACATATACATATACATATATATATATACATATATATATATACAATAAACATATATATAAATAAATATATATATATATATATATATATATATATATATAATATAATATATATAATA